GCCCTCTGCGGTTCTACGGCGGCGGGCTCCGATGGTATTCATTATGAGATGCTTCGCCATCTCCCTCCGAGCACGTCTCAGTATTTACTGAGTCTGTATAATCGGATCTGGGAGTCGTCGTCAGTCCCTGAGGACTGGCTCGATGCCGTTGTCCTCCCTGTTCGCAAACCAGGGTCTCTGGGTACTTCCCCTAAGGACTTTCGCCCTATTGCTCTCACAAGTTGTGTCTGCAAACTCTTTGAACGTATGGTTAACGTTCGTCTGATGTGGTTCCTGGAACACCATCACCTCCTCTCCCCTTCTCAATTTGGTTTCCGCAAGTGCCGCAGCACGACAGATGTCCTGGTGAACTTGGAGGTCTATATACGTACTGCTTTTGCTGCGAAGACCTCCGTTGTTGCCGTCCTTTTTGACCTAGAAAAGGCTTACGACACCACTTGGCGTTATCATATCCTATCTCAACTTCATTCTTTTGGCCTTCGTGGTCATCTCCCTCTCTTTCTCCGCAGCTTCCTCTCTCGTCGTTCCTTTCGGGTGCGCCTTGGTACCGCTCTCTCTCCCCCTTTTCAGCAATACGAAGGTGTGCCCCAGGGTAGTGTTCTGAGCACTACTCTTTTTCTGGTTGCCCTCAATGGTCTTCTTTCCTCTCTTCCTTCTGGTGTCTTCTCCGCTCTCTATGTCGATGATCTTACCCTTTGTTGTCAGGGTGATGATTCGCCTCTCCTTCAACGCCGGCTTCAACTTGCGATTGATGCCGTGTCGTCTTGGGCCACAGGTCATGGCTTCAAGTTCTCTACTTCTAAGACTTGTGCCATGACTTTTACGCGGAAACGGGTTGTTCTTCGTCCCTCTTTGTCACTTTATGGTCATCCCCTTGAATACAAAGATTCCGCGAAGCTTTTGGGGTTATTCCTTGACACTCGTTTGTCTTGGTCTCCCCATATCTCTTACCTCCGTGTTGAGTGCTCTAAGTCCCTTACCCTCCTTCGGGTCTTGTCCCATACTTCTTGGGGGGCAGATAGGCGCACTCTCCTTGCTTTACATTCCTCTCTCGTCCTGTCTAAGCTCGATTATGGTTGCCCTGCTTACTCGTCTGCTTCTCCTTCTACTCTTCGCCGTCTTGATGCTTTGCACCATACTGGGTTGCGCCTCAGTTCTGGTGCGTTTCGTTCGACTCCCGTCCTTAGCTTGTATGTTGACACTGGCTTCCTGTCTCTCCAGGACCGCCGTGATCGCTACTGTCTTCGCTATCTTGCGCGGTCCTTGCAACATCCTTCCTCTCGTCTCTGTCGTGCTTTAACTTTTACCCCTCCTGCGGTTCCTGTTCCTCTTCACCACCTCCCTCTTTCTGTCCGGTTATCTCGCCTGCAGGATTCTCTTTCCGTTCGTATTTCTGATGTTTCTCCTCGTGTTGTTCCTTCTTTGCCCCCGTGGAGGGTCCCTCTTCCGCGGTTTTGTACATCCTTGACTCGTATCACTAAGGCTTTTACCCCTCCTACAGTTCTAAAACGCCTTTTCCTCGAGCACTTTTCTTCTCACTCCCGCTCCGTTTCTGTCTTCACCGATGGGTCTAAGTCAGCGGACGGTGTTGGCTACTCTGTTGTTTTTCCTGATCGCACTTATATGTGTCGCTTGCCTCCGGAGACTAGCATCTTTACAGCGGAACTTTATGCTATTCTCTATGCTCTTCGTCTCCTGCTTTCTCGTTGTCAGTCTTCCTTTGTGGTTGTTGTTGACTCTCGTAGTGCCCTCATGGCTCTCGGGTGTTTAATCCAGTTCATCCGGTAGTTGTCGAGATCCAGCATTGGCTGTTTCTCGTTCACAGTAAATTTAAGTCGGTTGAGTTTTGTTGGGTTCCCAGCCATATTGGCGTGTCTTTAAATGAGCGTGCGGATGCTGCCGCTAAGGAAGCTGTCCGCTCTTGTCCCATCTCTCGTAAAGGCATTCCGTATTCCGACTTTTACCCGGTTATCCATTCCTCAGTCCTTACCCGTTGGCAGGCTTCTTGGTTGTCTGTTACTGGTAACAAGCTACGTACTCTTAAATGTTGTGTTTCCTCGTGGCCGTCCTCCTTCCACCGTAACCGGCGGTGGGAAACAGCTCTAGCGAGGTTGCGTATTGGCCATACTCGCTTAACCCATGGTCACTTGATGGAGCGCCGCCCTGCTCCTTATTGTCCTAGTTGCATTGTCCCTCTTACGGTCGTGCATGTCCTTCTTGAATGTCCTGACTTCCAGGACGAGCGTGTGTCTTGCTTTCCGACCGCCCCTCGCGGTCACCTGTCCCTCGATAGACTTCTTGGTGACTCGGATACTTTTGATATCGTTCGCCTTATGCGTTTTTGTTCTCGTATTGGCATCCTTGGTGATATTTAGCGCCCTCTGATTATTTTGCGTATTTGATGGTGCTACATAGCCTTCCCGGTTTGGTGCCTTCTTTTGATAATTACTTACTTACTTACTTCCTCCTGTTCTTCTTACTTGTAAGCCCCTTCTTGAATATCGTCTCTTGGTCTTTTGCACTCGTCTCAAGCTCCCCTATAATGATGTCCTCTATTGGAACTCCAGTCTGCTCTCCCTGTGGTTGTACGGTGATGAGCTCGGTTGGCATTCATTATGAGATGTTTTGCCATCTCCCTCAGAGTGCCTTTCAGTCTTTATTGAATACTGTACTAGTAATTTTATTTAGAAGACATTGTCTGTTCCCAACAACTGGCTCGAGGTGGTTGTTCTTCCTATTCAGAAACCTGATGCTCTAGGGACCACCCCTAAGGATTTTCGTTCCATTGCCCTGGTGTGCATGCTTTTTGAATGTATGGTCAGTATCCATCTTATGTGGTTCTTAGAACACTATTATTACCTTTCCCCTTTCCATTTGGGTTTTGCAAATGTCACAGCACAACATAGGTTTTAGTGGACCTTGAGGTCTACATTCGTTCTACTGTTGCCTCCCCCGTGGTTGCCATTCTTTTTATCTTGGAAAAGGCCTTTGACACTACTTGGAGGTACAATATTTTGTCCCAGCTTCATTTGTTTGGCCTTCTTGACAATCTTCCACTCTTCATTCATAGCTTCCTCTCTTATTTCTTTAAAGAGAGACTTGGTGCCACTTTCTATATCTTTTTTTTTTTTCACCAATTCGAAGGTGTTTCTCAAGGTAGTGATCTGAGCACTATTCTTTTCCTCATTGCCCTTAATGGCCTTACTTCCTCCCTTCCCTCTGCCATTTTCTTTGCACTTTGTTAAAGATCATACTCTCTACTATCATGGGTATGACTTCCCTTTCTCCAACACCGGCTCCAACTTACGATTGATGCCGTGTCATCTTTGGCCACCAATCATGGCTTCATGTTCTCTACATCTAAAACTGGTGCTATGATTTATATCTGGAAGCAGGTCATTCTTCTTCCCCCAATTATCACTATCACTCTATGGTAGTTTCCTTCTGTATAAATATTTTGCTAAAATTTTGGGGTTGGCTCACATATGTTTTGGTTCCTGATCAAATGCTCAAAGGCCCCTTACATTACAGGACTTCTAATTTAGGATAATAACCGACAATTATGTAATTTGTGAAATTTATGTAAAGATTTACACAAAGTCTTTTGCACTTTCTTGAGTGTATGGTAAAGGTCTGAGGATGTGGTTAGGACGAGATTTCCATCTCAACGACTAATGAGGCTGGATCCAGATACCTTTGGATCCAATCCTCTTATCCTTCCTGACCTTCTGACCATGTCGCCTCTGTTCCTGACTGCAGATGTACATGCGGTGATATCTATGGAATTATGATCGGGTGTCCTTTCTGTAATCCTGATACTTTATTCTGAGAACTGGAGTTATTAATAGAGGTGTTCATCTGGATGCTATCCCTCGTAACCTCCCCCTCCATTCCCAACAGAACACTGCTAATGGGACTACTGTACTTGTATTTATCCATTTAATGAAATCTAATTTTAATTCACTTAGAATCATTTTTCTAGTAAAGCTATCCTCTGAAGTAAAGCTTTTGTTACCTGCATAAGTATTTAGAGCATTAGAACCCCTTCTAGTTCTAATATTACTTTTATAGATTATTTCATCCTTCTTAAAATCAATGGTGATCCTTTTCCGAACTGTGGTATGCTACAGTAACTATGGTTTGCTACACTGTAGCAAACCATAGTTGAGAAAAGGTTCACAATATTTTTCTGGTAGCAAAATCTTTGTTATCTTGAGGTTATCTTGAGATGATTTCGAGGCTTTTTAGTGTCCCCGTGGCCCGGTCCTCGACCAGGCCTCCACCCCCAGGAAGCAGCCCGTGACAGCTGACTAACACCCAGGTACCTATTTTACTGCTAGGTAACAGGGGCATAGGGTGAAAGAAACTCTGCCCATTGTTTCTCGCCGGCGCCTGGGATCGAACCCAGGACCACAGGATCACAAGTCCAGCGTGCTGTCCGCTCGGCCGACCGGCTCGGATGTATTTCTGTGCTTTTAATTACATGTACACCATATACTGTATTGAGTTTAGGATTTTTGAATTGCACTGTACAGTAACTTTGTTACAAAACAATGATTTATAATTATATTGATCATTGAATGGTGAATTGTCATGTCATTGGGTCACAACTGAGAGTTGTTGAGTTCCATCCCTGCTGAAGGACAGAAACTTTCGAGCAATGTTTTCTTTCACCTGGCAGTAAATGGGTGCCTGAGAGTTGGGCAACTGTTGTGATTTGCATCCTGGGGAATGCCAGTAATTGGCTTAAGAGGACCTTAGTAAACCTAAGTACAGACTTCCTGTCCCTGACAATGGTAAACCATAACATTTTATACACATAGAAATTGTGTGGATTTGTTCATAGCATTTTGTTTTCTCGGACATGGTTTTATGTGGTTTTTGGAATTCTTGGGCACTATTCAAAGCTTTAAAATTACTTGATTAAAGTTATTAAAATCTGCCAAATCATGAAAATTAAATGTTTCATTAATTTTGTAGACAACCATTCTCGCCAACAGGAAATACGGAGGAGACCGCAGCAGTCAGTGGAGGTGACTTCTAGTAATAACACAGATTTCAATGATGAAGACCTGCAAACCTCTTCATTGATGTTTTATGCTAATTACTCAACATTGGATTGGGTAGCCTTGGCATTGAAATGGTTAATGTGGCTTCTGCTCTTCAAAGTATTCATCCTTCTTGAATTTGGAGCAGTGTATTTTATTTTTAGTGCCTTTATATTTATATGGTAAGTGTGCTACTAAACCTGGCATATTCCTGACTACAGTGCTTTATTTAATAATTAAATTAATATATTAGAAACTTTTAGGGTACTGTACCTGGTGGCTGTTATTGGAACACATTGTTTCCCATTGTTTTATGGAGTCATTTCCTGGTTGATGCCGTGGTCATGTCTGAACAAAGTTGCTAAAGGATAAGTGATATAGAAATTTGTAGACCACATTTGTTGCAGCAACCTTCCTTATGTAGACATATTATGAAAGCTTTATTTCATATTACCGCATCACTTGGAAAGAAGAGTTACGTAGTAACATGATTCAAAAATACAAATATATAAACGGCATATAATGGGGATTATTAATAGGGTGTTAAATGTATCAACACAAAATAGAACACAAAAGATGGATGCAAACTAAATAGGTTTAGTTCTAGAAAAGTCCTGTGTAAGTACATACCGTTATATACAGAGGGGTAGTACAGTACAGTATTGTATTTAGTTGATCACCCTGTGCACTTTTGTTCTTGCACTGGCATCCTTAGTGATATTTAGCACCTTTTGAATGTCCTGTGACTTTAATGGTGCTACATAGTCTCCCTGGCTTGGTGCCTTTTGATAATTACTTACAAAATTTGTTTCTGGATTAGTTATTAGTTTTGTGCTAGCAAGAGGCCAATCTATCCCATATACTTTTATTCATTGTTAGGTTAGGGTTAGCCTAGAACTTCTGCCTTGGCAATCAGGCCTCTTGCATGCATTACTGTGGGACAGAGGCTGAGGTGACTTAGCAGTGACTGCATCATTTTCCTGGTTTCCCAACTGATTTTCTTCCCAGCACCCCAATTGATTTATGCTTTCAGCAGTTCTCTCTGCTTTTGGGTTTCCCCACTTTATTTGCAGTTCCTTCGAACCTTGTTTAAAGGACATACCCAGCTGGCAAACCATGCTTAAATAATGTTTTAAGAACATAAGAGTGAAGGTAACTGCAGAAGGTCTATTGGTCCATATGAGACGGCGAGGCGGCTCCTATTTATATCCACCCAATCTTGTTTACATATATATATGTCTAACCTACGCTTGAAACAATCATAGGGATCCTACTTCCATTATGTTACATGGTAATTGGTTCCACAAATCAACAATCCTGTTACCAAACCAGAATTTACCCAGGTCTTTCCTAAATCTAAACCTATCCAATTTATACCCATTGTTTCATATTCTATTTTGTGTTGATACTATTAATACCTTATTAATATCCCCTATGTTATGCCTATGCATCCACTTGTGCACCTCTACCATGTCACCCATAATTCTTTGTCTTTCTAGAGAACATAAGAATGAAGGCATATTGGCCCATACGAGGCAGCTTCTATTTCTCCTATACCTAGATACAAGCTAGATGGTGTTGAGATTGCAAAAGGGATCTGGGAGTTATGATTAGTAAAAATTTAATACCAAAAAGTCAATGCATAAATGTTCGTAATGAGGCACATAGGACACTGGGATTTATTAATCGATGCGTTAGTAACAAGACACCTAGTGGTGTTCTTCAGCTATATCTTGCTCTGGTTAGGCCCCATTTAAATTATGTAGTTCAGTTTTGGTTGCCATACTATAGGATGGGTATAAATTCACTATCTTGAAGTTATCTCAAGATGATTTCGAGGCTTAGCGTCCCTAAGGCCCAGTCCTCGACCAGGCCTCCTTTTTGTTACACTCCTTCGGGAAGCAGCCCGTAGTTAGGAACGTGTCATATGAAGAAAGATTAACAAAGCTTAAATTGCATTCACTGGAAAAGCGAATAATTAGGGGTGACATGATTGAGGTTTACAAGTGGATGAAAGGACATAACAAAGGGATATTAATAGGGTATTGAAAGTATCGGCACAAGACAGAACACGAAACAATGGGTATAAATTGGATAAGTTTAGATTTAGGAAAGACTGGTAAATACTGGTTTGGTAACAGGGTTGTTAATTTGTGGAACCAATTACTGTGTAACGTGGTGGAGGTGGGGTCCCTTCCTTGTTTCAAACGTGGGTTGGACATGTATGTGAGAAGGATTGGGTGGTTATAAATAGGAGCTGCCGCATATGGGCACATAGGCCCTCTGCAGTCACCTTCATTCTTATGTTCTTATTTATATCCACCCAATCTCATTCCTGAGTGTATAGACATACACTCAGAGACATACAGGTTAGACATACTGTACAGTATGTATATGTCTAACCTACACTTGATTGTAATTTAACCTTTGTCACTTTTTCTTCATATGACAGGTTTCTAATTTGTGGGATTAACTTTGTCATCCTTCGCTGGACATGTTATAGTGAATTTATATCCATTCTATAGCATGGTGACCAAAACTGAACTGCATAATCTAAATGGGGCCCTAACCAGAGCTAGATATAGCTGAAGAACACCACCAGGTGTCTTATTACTAACACTTCGATAAACAAATTCCATTGTCCTATTTGCCGTATTATGAACATACTGTATATGCATTGATTTTTTGGTTTTAAATTCTTACTAATCATAACTCGAAGATCCCTATCCCAGTCCGACTTTTCAATCACAACACCATCTAGCTCGTATCTTGTAACTATCATCATTACCTAGCCTCAACCTTACATATGTCAGCATTAAATTACAGCCATCAGTCTTTTGACCATTTCAAAACCATATTTAGATCATCTTGAAGTGATAGTGAGTCTCTTTCAGTGTTTATTTCCCTCCCGATTTTCATATCACTGTATAAGTACCTCTTACGTGGTATCATTTCGTATAAGAACCCTGATTCAGTGTTTACATCAATGCCATTTGCCCAGGAGGTAGGCATTGGTGCAGTGCAAAGTATTGTTGGTATAGTTTGGTAGTGAACCAGCAGTAGATGTCTCGTATATATTTGTGGTGTGTACAGGGTCCATCTGGGTACTTCGGATGGTTCATTTTATTTTCTCCTAGGTTACACCGTAATAGTTTTCATAGCTGTTATTGTCTTTTAGACAATTGTTATTGTATGCATTGAGCCACTCGTTGATCAATTTTGGTGGATTGTATGATTTGGTCTGATGTGGAAACAATTTTGTTTTGGGTTTCTTTTTATTCTTCTTGGGTAGAGGCCTATATCTCAGTTGTTAGAATGTGTTATCTTCAGTGAGAGAGAAGTATGGTTTGGACTCGGCTTAGTGGCTTCCATGTTGGCACGTTATGCCTTGGAAGGCTTCAGCAGTTGTAATTTTTTTCTTATAAATCCTGTGCTGGATTGAATATTCTCATGTTACCCAGTTTGAATAGCTCTAATATTTTAGTGTGCAATAGATGTGGCTGTGCCAAATCCTAAGAGGTCGGTAGGATCTTGCCATTGAGAGCAACCAAACATACTACTTGGAAAAGTGCCATTATATGCACTTGGTGCTTTGATTTTATTTTTTAGGGACCATAGTCATTCACCTCAAATTACAGAAGCATTAATGTTTTATTACTGTACTATTATTTTAATATTATTTACAGGTTCACCATGAGGTCTGAGCCAAAAAAAGAGGGAGAAATAAGTGCCTACTCAGTGTTCAATCCAAATTGTGAAGCCATAGACGGAACATACTCTGCTGAACAATTTGAACGTGAGCTCTTGCACAAAATGTGATATTTGCAGCATAATGTAATGCAATATTGCTGCATATTAAGCTGTGCAATATTGAAAACCTTATTTGCAGGTAAACAATGGATTTACATATTGAGATTTGTTTTAGAAATTCTTAATTCATGATACATTTAGAAACCTGAAACTTTGCAAGGACACATTTTTCTGGAAGAAACTTTTTTGGGGTTAAAAACAAAATTAAGTTACCTGTATTCAAATAATTTCTTTTAATACATTATTGATTAGGCTCTTCTCCAAATAAATGGTGTGTTAGGTGGGGGGGGAATACATTTTATATTGTTGGGGGTTTAATAAATTTTCTATACTGGAACATAAATGCTCTTATACTGTACTTGTTTTATTTACATTTAAGGCTAGATTGAAAAGTTTTCCACCATAAACACATATATTGACCTATTACAAATATGGTAAAACATTCAGTAGAAAAATAAATGTCATGAAAATCCAAGAGTGTGCTCATTTGTACAGTCAGTGTGAAATAGTCTCCCCTCCCCTAACCCAGGCACTACTGAGCAAGTAAGCAAGCTGTTATACCAGACATTAGCATTACTGAGCCAGCTATCATCCTGGGTGCCCCCAAGGGATCGCATGCAATCAGATTGGTCCTCATTGCAAAAATATCAGACCCATGGAGGATGCAGAACAGGATTGACAAAATCAATGTTCATTATCCTTTCTACCTCCTCACAAGATGCCTATTACAAAATTAAGTATGGCACCCCTTTGAGGTCTATGCTAGAAAACGTACTCCACCTACTGTTGGAAGGCTCTCAGTGGGAACAAGCAACCCTTCAAGTAAGACTTGGTGGCCTCAGTGTGTCCTCAACCTAGAAGGAAGGGAAACGGAGAACCACCAGGGCTTGCCCAGAAATTGGTGTTATGAAACAACAATTTCAATGCAGGTTTTCTGGGGGAGCCCCTTGTGGCTCCTTGAAACTAACTTTCCAGGGAGAAGAAAGTGAGTGGGATTGGGTGATTATAAACAGGAGCTGCCTCGTATGGACCAATAGGCCTTCTGCAGCTATCTTTGTTCTTATGTTGTGTACCTTGACTTCTTAAACACATAGGCACCCACCAGGGAGGAGGAAGCAGCACAGGATTCAAGACGGAAGAAACCCTGCTGAGACACACGATCCAAAGTCATACGGGCACTGTGCTCCAGGAATAGTAGCAAGATACTGGGTGGCCAGAACCCTATTTGACTTCCAAAATCCCCCATACCTGAATGTCAGCCCAGGACATGTTCATAAACAACACAAAGAGTGGCATATGTCTGAACATCATGGGTGTGGCGGTAGACCATAAGCTGGCTAGACTGAATAGCACTGTGGACAACTTGAGAAAGAGAAACTTTAACCCCCATCCCCTGATTCCATTGTAAGAGGATCAATGCCCCCAAGGTATCTACCAAAGCAGAATCAGTGGCACGAAGGTAGTTTGCGGAAAGCCGTCTCCAGACACATCACATAATGCACCACTGGCCGAACCAACCAAGCATCAATGACCAAAGAGACCCCTCCAGAATCAAACCAACTTCTACTTTGCCAGAAAAAGAAGGAATTTACTGAAAATGGACAAATCACCCACCAGGGCAACAAGAACAAAAACCCTTCCTTCGGAGGAGAGCATGAAGCTCTCCTCTCCAACAACCGGAATCAAGAGCAAAGACCTAAGAAAATCACAGACCAAACGGGACACCATAAACTGAGAAGAGGAAAGAAACTCAAGAACACTGTCAAGAGACCAAGCAGGCTCATGAGGAGCATGAACAGGTCGGAGGTGAAACGATGTACTCACGTAATTGTGCTTGCGGGAATTTAGCTCTGGCTCATTGGTCTCAATGTGTGGGACAGTTTATGAAACCAAGCCAAGGCAGTATCGAAGCTGAATGCAAGCTGCAGTGGCTCCACCAATGCCTCACGATAAAAGGCGACAATATTCGGCATGAGATGCCAATAAAATGAAGAGGAGAGCATTACATGCTCAGAAGCTGAAGAACAATGATGAAGAGAAAGGAAGTGGTGAAGGAAGCCACGAAACTTCATACTGTCACAGAGAAGAGGAATGCAAGTGTGACACCATCAGTGTAGTCATCTGCTCGCCATAAAGGCAGTCATGTGCGTAAAAAATACCAGACAAGGATAGGGTTGAACTAGCGTAGTATGCCATTGGATCCACCCTCTAATGAAAATGTAGCTGTGGAAAAATGCCTGGGTTTGGACATTGAGCAAACATTGCCTGAAATCAAGGCTGAGCCAGGCACTAGGGAGCCAGAAGGATCACCCTACCTTAGTAGGACTCCAACCTGGCCAGGACCCAGAGCAACAGCCAGACTAGGAGAAAGAAGTACAGGAATCCGAACCTCAACAAGTCCTGCTGAAAGGCATCCACCACAAGGGCCTCACAATTGGGGAAACTGAACTGTATATAAGGAAACTGCTTAGACCACACTTATGTGAAAATGTCCATTGTACAGGCATTGTTAACGTTCCACACAGCCACAAGAAAGTGATGACATCGACAGTCCACACCATGGAAACAGGAAGGAACTGGGACAGGCCATCTGTAAGGACATTGTTTTCTTGCCAGATATGAATGACATGGAAAGTCAAATTCCCAGAAACCAAAAGAAAAGCTACACAAATAACCCAACCCCAAAGAGATGGACTGAAGCAAATTCCCCCCCCCCCCCATCCCCCCTAGATGAGTGTGAACTGCAGGGGAAACGTCCTGAATGGAGCCAGAGCCCAAAGGAATCTGAACACTCAGCATTGCATGCCACATGGCCGCAAACTCCCAAACTGTGCAGTACAGTACAGTACTGTGAGCCCGACGAAGGAGAAGAGACCAATGACCTTGGCTGACTTGGTGAGCATTGGCCACAAAGCCCCAGCCCAGAGCTGAGGTATTATTTTTTTCTATTAACAAAAAAAGTGTCAGCCCATGAAAAGGAGCAGTCTTAGAGCATGTAGAATTATATAAAGCTATGCCATAAAAATACTAGTCTGAGAAGGCAGCATAAAGGTTTTCATCAGGAAAAGCCTGTTCCACAAACCTGTTGGTTTCACAAATCAACAACCCTGTTACCGAACCAGTATTTACCCAAGTCTTTCCTAAATCTATACTTGTCCGATTTATACCTATTGCTTCGTATTCTGTCTTGTGTTGATACTTTTAATGCCCTATTAATATCCCCCTTGTTATGTCCATTCATCTACTTGTAAACCTCTTTCATGTCGCCCTTAACTCTTCGCCTTTCAAGTGAATGCAAGTTAAGCTTTGTTAATCTTTCTTCATATGAAAGATTTCTAATTTGGGGAATTAACTTTGTCATCCTACGCTGGACACGTTCAAGTGAATTTATATCCATTCTATAGTACGACGACCAAAACTGAACTGCATAATCTAAATGGGGCCTAACCAGAGCAAAATATAGCTAAAGAACAACACCAGGTGCCTTGTTACTAACGCTTCGATTAATAAATCCCAGTGTCCTATTTGCCTTATTACAAACATTCATGCATTGATCCTTTGGTTTTAAATTCTTACTAATCATAACTCCCAGATCCCTTTCGCAATCCCTTTGCCTCCCAGATCCCTTTCGCAATTTCGCTATATGTAGTGATAGTGAGTCTTCTTCAGTGTTAATTTCCTCACCGATTTTTTGTATAATTAGCAAATTTGCAAATGTTGCTACTCAAACCTGAATCTAAATCATTTATATATATTATAAACAACAGAGGTCCCAAGACAGAGCCTTGAGGCACTCCACTTACAACATATTCCCACTCTGACTTAACCCCATTTATACTAACTCTGTTTCCTTTGATATAACCATCTTGAGGTTATCTTGAGATGATTTCGGGGCTTTTTAGTGTCCCCGTGGCCCAGGCCTCCACCCCCAGGAAGCAGCACGTGACAGCTGACTAACACCCAGGTACCTATTTACTGCTAGGTAACAGGGGCATAGGGTGAAAGAAACTGCCCATTGTTTCTCGCCGGCACCCGGGATCAAACCCGGGACCACAGGATCACAAGTCCAGCGTGCTGTCCACTCGGCCAACCGGCTCCCCAAGAGCCATGCCCTAATCCAATTTAATATAGCACCCCCAATACCATGAGCCTTTATCTTTTTAATCAGTCTTTCATATGGCACTGTATCAAAAGCTTTGCTAAAGTCAAGGTACACAACATCGCAAACCTTACCATTATCAACTGCTTCAACTATGCTGGAATAAAAAGATAGCAAATTTGTTAAACATGAATGGTCATTTGTAAAACCATGGTGACTCGTTTATTAATTTGTTTTTTAAAATGAAGATGAATTATATTTGCAATTATCGATTCAAGTAACTTTTCCACAATAGACGTTAGGCTAATTGGCCGATAGTTTGATGCAAGTGATTATCTCATTTCTTAAAAATTGGTACCACATTAGCAACCTTCCACGATTCTGACACTGCCCGACTCTAATGATTTATTAAATATGGTATACAATGGCTCGCAAAGCTCCTCTGCATTCTTTAAGCACCATGGCAATAACTTCATCCGGCCCTGGGGATTTGTTTGGTTTGAGTTTTACTATTTGTTTAATAATATCATCCCTAGTAACTGTTAGACTAGTCAACCTGTTCTCATCCCCACCCACATAGACTTGTTCGGCTGAAGGCATAGAGTTAAGTTCTTTTTTAGTAAATACAGACAAAATATTTGTTAAAAATACTACGCGTCTCTTCGTCATCATCCGATATCTGACCTGTCTCGGTTTTTAATGGACCTATCCTTTCCCTAACCTTTGTTTGATACAACTGAAAAAAACTTTAGGATTTCCTTTGCTTGGCCTGCTAAACGAACTTCATAGTTTCTTTTTGCTCTCTTGTGACACAGCACGACTGATGTCCTGGTGAACTTGGAGGTCTATATTCGTAGTGCTTTTGCTGCGAAGACCTCCATTGTTGCTGTCCTTTTTGACCTGGAAAAGGCTTATGACACGGCTTGGAGATACCATATTCTGTCCCAGCTTCATTCTTTTGTTCTTCATGGAAATCTCCCTCTCTTCCTCCAAAGCTTCCTCTCTCGTCGTTCTTTTAGAGTCAGGCTTGGTGCCACTCTCTCTACCTCTTTTCGGTAGTACGAAGCTGTGCCCCAAGGTAGTGTTCTGAGCACTACTCTCTTTCTGGTTGCCCTCAATGGTCTTCTTTCCTCCCTCCTGGCATCTTCTCCACTCTTTATGTTGACGATCTTACTCTTTGCTGTCGAGATGATTCGCCTCTCCTTCAACGGCGGCTTTAACTTGCGATTGATGCCGTGTCATCTTGGACCACCAATCATGGCTTCAAGGTCTCTTACAACCAAAACTTGTGCTATGACTTTTACTCGGAAGCGGGGTCGTTCTTCGTCTCTCTTTGTCGCTTTATGGTCATCCCTTTGTGTACAAAGATTCTGCGA